TAACGTTCCCGTTTCCGTCTCAAATGATCTAAGAAGAAAATAAATTATCTACATGTCTTATATAAGTCTTGCCTGTATATCTTTTACATGTAGTATCCGGAGGGTCATATTTCAAGAAGCATATATGCTATTTTCAAATTGGTTGGCGGAGTGAAATTAAGCCTTTTAGAAGAGTTTATGCCCAATATATTCTTGGCAGTATGGACAACTACACCATGGACTATTCCTGCTAATGCTGGTAATTGTCGTATTAAAAAAAATGCATCATAATGTTACTCTCAGATGCTGAAATGCATCCTACCTTTGTTTCCGTTCTTTCCCACCTCTCTTGTCCACTTATAGGCAAAGAAGTACTTTTCTTTGTGTGGTTTTTCGTATTTGAATGCATTATAAGCATTTAATTACTCTTTCTTCTTTTTCTTCTTGTATAACTTTCAGCTGTTGCGGTGAATGCAAAGCTTCAGTACTCTGTTGTAGAAGTGCAGTCATCCTCAGAAGATGAATCTGCATCGAAAAGCAACAAAAAGAAAATGGTAGGGAAAGTTCTGAAGAATCAACAAAAGCTTTTCGTGATTGTAGCGACCGACCTTTTGCCAACACTAGAAGCGAAATGGGGTGTGAAGCTTATCATTACTAAAACACTCTTGGGTTCAGATCTTGAAGGCTGCAGGTTACATTTTAAGCTTAAGAATAAAAGGAATCTCATGTGATGCTACAAATTTGAACCCCTTGGTTTATAGTGTGTCATCATGGTTGTAGGTACACACATCCAGTTGACAACAGGGACTGTCCTATCGTTATAGGGGGTGATTACATAACTACGGAATCAGGAACAGGGTTGGTCCACACTGCCCCTGGTCATGGTCAGGAGGATTATGCAACTGGCTTGAAGTATGGGCTGCCTATTTTCGCTCCTGTGGATGATGGAGGAAACTTCACTGAAGAAGCTGGCCGGTTTAGAGGACTCTCTGTCCTTGGAGAAGGGAATAGTGCTGTTGTCAGTTACCTGGATGATAATATGTCTCTGCTCATGGAAGAATCTTATGGTGAGTTTGCTTCATAGGCTTTTTTTTGGACCAACCATTTGAGAATATTTGCGTCAAAGTCTCATGATTTAATTTCCTTCTTTTTTCATGCAGCTCATAAGTACCCATATGATTGGCGAACTAAGAAACCTACGATATTTAGAGCCACCGAGCAATGGTTTGCATCGGTTGAAGGGTTTCGCAAGGCCACTATGGAGGCAATCAACAATGTAAAATGGGTACCACATCAGGTACCAAGTTAACTACATGCTGATCCGTCTTGGTCTCAGATTTTCTCATTGCTGGGATGATATCATACGTTTTGCTGCCTTCTTTACATAGCGTCTTTCTTTGTATTATCTTTCAAAGAGCTTCATGTTATATTGTTTGGAATTTGATTTGGCAATCTTTTGGAAATTGTCATTCAGGCAGTAAACAGAATAACAGCCATGACTTCCAGTCGATCTGATTGGTGCATCTCGAGACAAAGGACATGGGGTGTCCCTATTCCTGTCTTTTATCATGTTCAGACAAAAGAACCCCTCATGAACGAAGACACAATTAACCATGTTAAATGTAAGGCCTATACTGTCTCTTTTTTTGGTTGTCATTTGCTGTGTATTTTTTTTTTTTTTATCTTACTACCTTATTTTGAAAACCTTTGTCCGGCAGATATAATTTCCCAAAAGGGTAGTGATGCATGGTGGTATATGTCAGTGGAAGACCTACTTCCTGAGAAATATCGTGATAAAGCAGCTGATTATGAGAAAGGGACTGATACAATGGATGTCTGGTTTGACTCAGGTACTATACATAGCAAAAGAATGTTAATTAAAAAGAAAATATTACATAGCACCAAACAACTATTTTGTCATCACTTTTAGGTTCCTCTTGGGCTAGTGTGTTGGGGAAACGTGAGGGTCTTACTTACCCTGCAGATTTGTATCTAGAAGGTACAGATCAGCATCGTGGATGGTTCCAGAGTTCTTTGTTAACAAGCATCGCAACAAAAGGTGATACAAAGCCTGCATAAATTTTGTAATACAGATCTTAGCTTTCTTGGTGTAAGTTGGCTTTTCAATTTTCATTTTTTATCCTTCACATTTTGCATTATTGTATATAGGCAAGGCTCCCTATTCTACCGTCATCACACATGGTTTTGTACTGGATGAGAAGGGTATTAAAATGAGCAAGTCTGAGGGTAATGTGGTTGACCCACGTATGGTCATTGAAGGAGGGAAGAATTCAAAGGTTCGTCAGAGTCTAATAAACAACCATATGCTCATTGTGTTAAGACATCTTTTATTATCCAAGAATATGTTTAGTAACAAGGATTTGTCTTCTGATGCCAGGATGCACCTGCTTATGGGGCTGATGTTATTCGTCTCTGGGTTTCGAGTGTAGATTACACAGGGGATGTACTGATAGGCCCACAGATTCTTCGGCAAATTTCTGATATATATAGGAAGTTGAGAGGAACGTTGAGATATCTCTTGGGGAATCTTCATGATTGGAGAGTATGTCTTTAACGCTAAGCTTTATATAGAGCTCTTTCCCCCCAACGATTCAAGATTAATTGCTCTGCTATTTTATATTGTGGGTGTTTGCAGGTTGATAATGCTGTTCCGTACCAGGATTTGCCCATGATTGATCAGCATGCTCTCTTCCAGCTTGAAAATTTTGTGAAGAACGTAACAGAGTGTTACGAGAACTACCAGTTTTTCAAAATATTCCAGGTACTAAACGTCACCATTTTATTTTGATAGAGTTGAAGTAAACAATAGCTACATAGTAGTCTCTTTAAACGTGGCATATTATGACCGGGTCAATTTTCTTTTATCTGCTTAAATTTGAATTACTGGTTTTGTGTTGTGTTTTGCTATTTAGTTTTATGTTTTAGATGATCCGTGTTATTAAGTGGCCTTTCTTTCTTTCAGATCATACAACGATTCACAATTGTCGACCTGTCAAATTTCTACTTCGATATTGCTAAAGATAGACTGTATACTGGGTAAGTTTTTCCATTTCTCTAGATTAATATTTGCTGCAACCTATGTAGACCTTGGCTTACTACTAATCTTTGCTTGCAATACGTCTGTGCTATTTCAATGTACTCTCAGGGGAACCACGAGTTATACCCGAAGAAGTTGTCAAACAGTTCTTTCAACACATCTTTTATCCATATTGAGAGTGATCGCACCGATAGTACCTCACCTAGCAGAAGATGTCTGGCAAAATCTCCCATTTGAGTACAGAAATGAAGATGGCTCTGCAGCAAAATTTGTCTTTGAGCTTAAATGGCCTACGTTGAACGAACAGTGGCTTTCATTTCCTGCTGAAGATATTCTCTTCTGGGAAAGGCTTCTCGAGGTATAACAAAATCTCCTAGAATCATAGCATATAAAATCTCAGCAATTTCCTCCCGCTTCACATGTTATTGTTAAGAATCAGAGTTCCTTAGCTTAGAGGAGATTGAAGTTAAGAATCTGTGTGATGACATTTTAGTTTCAATCTTTGTTTCCTTCTTCCTATTAATGAGGTATCTTAAAAAGGCTAATGTTGTTTATGTGACAGTTGAGGACAGAGGTGAACAAAGTGCTGGAGCTCGCACGTAATGGGAAACTAATCGGTTCCAGCTTAGAAGCAAAGGTGTATCTTCATACCGCAAATGCAGGCATGGCCTCAAAATTATTAGAGATGTGTGAAGCTCAGAATGAAGCTGACACATTGAAACGCATATTCATAACATCACAGGTAAGCAATAAATTTGTTTTTTTTTTTTGTAATTTAACTTTATGATAGTGAGTACAATTCAATGAGAGTTTAGCCATCATTAAACTGTTGTGGATGTGTGCAGGTTAAGGTACTGTCGTCGATGGAGAAGGAGATGGTAAGTAGTGTGCAGCATACGGGAGAGTATGTGGTGGGAGAAAACGAAGTGTGGATTGGTGTGTCACGAGCCGAGGGATCCAAGTGTGAGAGGTGCTGGAACTACTCGGGTCAGGTTGGGTCGTTTGCTGATCATCCTACTCTCTGTGGACATTGTTTCAGTGTCATTGTTGCTAATCCACCTGATCCTGTGGTTGCAGAAGCTGTAGCCAGCTGAGCGTAAAATTTTACTCTATACTGTTTACATTTCATTTGCCCAATGCACTCTTTGTACTCCAATTCATTTTTGTTTCAGTAAACTCGATAACAGTATCGTAAAGTTCAATTTCACAAAAATAGTGTTACTCACCAAAAACATACTAATATCTATCTTACTAACAATCAGAAACATTATGTTGGAACTAAACTTTATTTGATAAGGTTTTAAATTAAATACACAATTTTACTTTATAATTAAATTTACATTAAATCATTAATATTCTTTTTATACTATTATTCATGTTTTCAAAACAATATAATCATTTCTTTACTATTATCAATGTTTCCAAACAATATTATAATTAATCTTTTGTTTAAATAATATAAAAAATATTCTCATTTTTTAAAAAAATAATTTATAACAATTTTTTTCAATTTGTTTAGATAAAATAAATAATTTCAAAATTTCAAATAATTTATAAAATATTAAAAAATAAATAGAACTTAATTTACATGTTTTTTTTTTTTTTTTTGAAAAACTACTTAATTTACATGTTTAAATATTACATATCATATATCTATCGATTCAATCGTTTGGTCTCGGTGTTTAGTAATCTTTTAAATAAGGATATTTTCAAAAATCTAATCGATTTATCAAATCACTGGATTAACCAATTAAAGTTCAGATCGAATTTAAAAATCATCAATTTAAATAAAAAAATATTTTAAATACACATTTTTCTCAAATTACCAAAATATTTATTAATTATTAGTGATTTTTTTTATCAAAATATATTACCACCAAAATCTAGTAAATTCTAAAGGTGGAATATCTTTTGTTGGTTGCATAACTCTTCAGTTCTAAGCTCAATTAAGGATACAAATTATGTAATGAATTTCTTAAATTGACTCAGACCGAACATAAATACGTAAGGTTTAATGTCTTAAGGGTTCAGAGATAAAATCAAGATAACCAAACACAAAGTACAGAGAGACATGTCATGGATGGAAGCAATGAAGAGGGTCTTGCATTCTAGAGCTGAGCGTTTGCGTTTTGTTGTAGTAACTCTATCTCTTCCAAGTCATCGCTCTGTATCTGTATGTCCTGCACCGAGAAAACGTAAAGAAATGTTGATCGTTTCCTAATTTGCCTAATCAAAGACAATAACAAACGCTTACTTGCGGTTGTGCTGGTGGTTCTTGAGCAACAGGGTATACCTGTGGCTGAGACATTCTGTAATAGGGTTCCTTGAGATCGAGTTTGCACGATGATGTCTGGAGGATTCCACCTTGATTAGCACCAGGCCCCCACATTTTAGCTGTTTAAGAAAACCAATTTGAAAAAAGTGTAAGACAGAAGCTGATATGATTCAAAAGGAGAGATGCAATGCAAGAAAGCAAAATTGACCTGAGAGAGTTAGATTTATAGTGTAACTCTGAGCACTGTGGGCAACCAAGTGAAGTCTACCGGTGAGTTCCTGCCCTGCCATGACATGAATAGGCTGCGAGAGCACACATCTTATCTGGTACCAGTGGGTTGTTGGTGCACCAGGAGCAGTCGTGAACCATCTTTGCACAGTGCTGTTGATATACCGAGCAGATCAGGTCATATTGTTTTCATTTGTATGACAGCAAATGAAAATAACAATAAGTTGATACCTCCCGTCAAAGAGAACATCGAACCAGCAGGCAAGCCCATGCACTCTGCCACACACAGAAGCTGTGAACTTCAATGGGACATCAATCTCGTAAAATTGTTCTTCCTGTGAAAATAAATTGACACCTAAATTAGTTTGGATCATACCATTTACCAAACAGAGGAGACTGTAAATAGATATTCCACCTATATGAAACACTGTAGAACCAGAGTAGCTATACCTTCATTTGAGTGAAATCTATCACATGAAACATCGGAGGAGCTACCAATAGCCTCGGATCAAATGCATCAACAACGGGCTACAAAAATCAATTGATGTGAGTCATTGTAAAAGGTGACAACAAACTAACTAACGAATGATCCACTAGCATACCTGGGAGAAATAACCCTGGTGTGCTGATGCATATAGAGGTGTCAAATCAACTCCATAATAGTTCTGTTGCTGCCAAAATAAAGCCTACATAGAGGTAAAGAAAAACATTTTTAGTGAAAGCTTAATATCACATAATTTAACAGTCATTTCTTTTTATGAACGTTACAAGCAACTTCAGACGATTTATGTACCTTATTTGCCATTTCAACAAATAGGAATTCATCGGAGAAAGGCGCCATGTGGATCCTACAGTAAGAAAGTAACATGAGAAGAGAAGAGGTTTATGCAATAGACAAGTGAAACTATAAAAGATCAACTTTACCTTCCAACAGTCGGAAACATTTTTCCGTTTGGAGACAAGAAACGGTCCCTAGCAATCACATATGTCTCCAACATCCTCTCATTCACCAATAGAGTGCCTACACGCACATATAGTTTGGTTCTAAGACATCATTCAAATGAACCCCGAAGACATTGCCTTCTATAAGATTATGATTTTCATGAAGAGTATTTGAACAAGAATCCATCTCTGAAACACATACCCATTGGTTCAGAGATTAAAACATCTGCCTTCTCAGGCAACTCAATATCCTCAATCTTTCCCTTGATGACCTACACTTGTGCAACATTGAAGAACATCAGAAAATGGATACACATGGGAAAATGTATTATCAAAACAGGATTATAAATCTTACTGTGATCCGTTCAGCAAGCAATGGATTCCCAGCGATCAGCTTACGAGCATAATCAGCCATTTCTGACGCTTCCACAGCATACACATGCTTGGCACCAGCCTAAATTAAGGGATAAATAGTTAATATTGAGTAATTCTTGAACCTTTTGGTCCAAAAAGTCTTTAAATAATTGCATACCAGTGCAGCAAACATTGACAAAATGCCACTTCCAGCACCGACATCGACAACAACACGCCCGGCAAAATCTGAACGATTCTCCATGACTGCCGCATGATAAGTACCTGAAGACAGTACCATGACATAAAAAGAGCTACCATGAGCCAACAAATAGCTATGTGAAGAAAATTAAAGAAAATTCTCCTCTAATGTGTGTTACTCATCCTCCTACTAAGATAGAGACCAGAGACGTCATACCCGTCCTCACATAATCCTGTAGCATGTTCTGCTGATGTAGTAGTTGTCCATAGTAATGGAAATACATTTTGGCTGAAGCAGGTTCTATCTTATCGTCAAACTTGCTTTTACTCTCTGAAACTTCTCCATTCGGCAAGGATGATCCTATAAACGTAAGAATGAGAAGGCATCAAAAAAAGATAACGAGCAACAGTCATGAACATAGAGTGAATAAAAACAAAAATTTGGGATTTGGTGAACTTTAAAGGCAGAAGACAAAGTTTGTATAAAAATGTGGCAACTAAGAGACGTTTACTTCATTGGGAAAGATAAGAGCAACTAAAAGTTATTCATGTTAATAAAAACCCTTCTTAAGTACACTCATGACTCATGAAATATGCATACACATAAGATCAAACACATCTAATAAACATTTTCTTTACTGAAAGAACAAACATGAAAACATAAACAAATGTACAAATACACACCTTTTCCAACAGAATCTTTCCTCCATTCCTCAAACGAATCACAAAACTCCTTGCTTCCCTTCTCATCACTAAACTTTATCACAACTCCTCGAGAAAATGAACCCTGGTTAATAATCATTAAAAAAAAATACACATCAAACCCAAAGGTAACACACTTTCATATCAAACACACACATTCAGTACTAAAAAACAACATTAGAAAAAACAAATCATCTCCCAAAACCAATCACATAAACAATAAAAAGAGAAGCATTTAACGTACCTCTTTTACAGAACCAGAACTATCAGTTACACAAACGAACTGAAGCTGCCCCAACTTGAACAACTAAACCAAACACACAACACATTAAAAAACACTTATCAACAACAACAAAAAACAGTTCCATCATCTTAAAAATATAAATCTTGAAACCAATAAAACATTATTCTCCACATTACTCAATTAACCATTTTTTAAAAAAAGTTTCAAACTTTATTAAGTAAAACAAAAAAAAGTTTCAAACTTTACACTCCAAAAGCGAATCTAATATTATTAGCCCACCTGAGTAGAGCTAAGATCAAAACTGAATCCATTGGCAGATTCAGATTCTTGAAACCGAAGTTCTGTGACTTCATCAACACAGGAGAACGTAGCTTTAACAGGAGAGGACGAAGAGGAAGAGGAGGAGGAGAGATCAGTGACAGAGGCTAGAGTGAACTCTTGGTGTTTCGTAGAAGGAGCCTCCATGGTTTTGAGAGGCTAAGGGATGTGTAGATACAATGTTATGTGTATGTAAAGATTGAGTAAAAGGGTTTTTAGGGTTTTTTATAAAGAGGAGAGCTTTGAAGAGAGCTCTGAGGAAAAAGCCCAAGAGGAGGAAGGTGACGCCACTATGGGGTATTTCCGTATTTTAGTCATCCTAAAATATTTGTTCAAAAGAAAATTTGTTCAAAAGAAAATTTGTTCAAAAGAAAAAAAATCATCCCAAAATAAAATTAGAAATTGGAAGTAAATCATGTAACTTTTAAGATTATAATATCTTCAAGATCATGTAACTTTTAAAACTATAAGAGCACAATTATTTCAGGTCTTTAATGGGGTTTCTAAAAAAAAACTAGCGCGCGAACTCCACAAAAAATATAACAATCGGTAATAAAAATAGTAAATTAAAGACCGTTTTTTTCTGTGTTTCTTGCATTGTACGCGGACTCCACCGACATATAGTGGATGCGATTGGTGCGTTTTAAATTTTTTTTCCTAAATCAACCAAAAAAAAAAGGAAAATTTAAGAAACTCTTAATGATTTAATGGATAATCATGGCATAGTATCTCCGTTTTAAAATAGAAGATGTTTACATATCTTAATTATGCAACCAGTAATTTAGTGTAGTCTATTTTGTAACTAGGTGTTTTACCCGTACTTGCGGACTTAATAATTTTCTAATATCTATACACAAATAAAATCAATTTAAGTAAATTATAATAAATTATTGTTCATACACTCAAAATATTTAATAATAATCTAAACAAATTCTTTCTAAATATAAAATTTTTCATCATCATATAAATAATTGTCATACACAAATTAAATGTGAAAATACTCATAAATTTAAAATATTTAGCAATAAATTAATATCATTTTTAGACATAACAATAAAAGTATAATAAAATTATCTTTAGTAATGTAAACTATCTATACATAAATTCTTTGCGGATTATTTTTTTTCATAACTAAATATATATTTACAAATATAATTATTTTTCAAGGTTAATAAAGACTTATAACATAATTATAAAAATTAGATAATGGTAATTATCAAATTCATGAATTTCGTTTTTAATTTAGAATTAATTATATATTAACAATATAATTATTTTAAATATAATTATTTTTCAATGTCGATAAAGACATAATATAAAAAAAAAATAAGGATGATTATCAAATAAATTAAATTACTTTTTAATTTATAATTAATGATATATTACTAAAAATATAATTATATTTCAAGGTTAATAAAGATTTTATAACCCAATATAAAATAGTTTTAGATAAAGATAAATCTAAAATCATTGAAATTTGTTTTTACTTATGTTTAATTATATATTGAATTTTTTAATTATTATATAGTGATAAATCTTTTTTTTTGGTCAAATAGTAATAACTATTAGTCATTATATAGTAATAAATCTAGTTAGTCGTTAAGTTTATGTTTGATTTGTCATTAAGGGTAGTAAAAATCATAAGAACATGACAATTACATTTACTATCGTTAATGGCGAAGCAAACATAAATTTAATGACTAATTAGATTTATTACTATATAATGAATAATTAGATTTATTATAATCATTAGTCTAGATAATGATAATCATCAAATCATAAGAAACATGACAAATAAGATTTGTTTCTAATTATTATATAGTAATAGATCTAATTAATCATTATATAATAATAAATCCAATTAGTCATTAAGTTTATGTTTGTTTTGTCATTAAGGTTAGTAAATCTAATTAATATTCGGTACATAATTATATAATAATAATTTTAATTAGTCATTAGTTAAGGGTAATAATTAATCATTAGTCGAAATCATAAAAACATGATAAATAAGTATAATTACCTAAAACTATAGATAATATGATAAATCAGAAAATTCACTTTTTAAAAATATAATTAATTTATTGTTACTTATATATTAATTCAGTTTTAGTTTATGATTTATTAATATCAACTATTTTTAGATAATAATAGTCATCAAATCAGTGAAATTTGTTTCTAATTTATGGTTGATCATATATTAATTAAATATATTTTTCTGATAACAACACAATATATATATAGGAATTCTATTTTTATTTTATTTTTATATATATATTTAGATTATGGATAATTCTTATCATTATTATTAATTTAAATCATTCATCTAATCAAAAAGAATATAAATTCGTTTTTTATTTTTGGCTGATTTATATATTTTATTCATTAAGGGTATAAACGATATTAACCACTCCAACTTTTAACGTGGAAGCTCCGAAAAATCACGTTGCAAATAATAGTATAGATAAATTTAGTTAATTATATAATAATTATATAAGATTATAGAAATTATGACATATAGTTAAAATTATCTAAAATCATGGAGAACTTAATGAATCAGCAAATTCAATTCTTAAATAATTTTTCTTGAGTGATGATTTATATTTAATTAATAATAAATAATTTTCTGTTTTACTTTTAAATTAGATAAAATAAAAATATATTTTCAAGATAACAACATAATACTAAGAAGTATCTTATTTTCTAAAAATCTAATACTATTAATATAAATTTGTTTTAAATATAGAATAAATCATATATAAAACTATAGAAATTATGATAAATTATGAAAATTACCTACAATTATGGAAATATGACAAATCAACAAACATTAAATTCACTTCTTAAATAATAGTATAGATTTTTTACATGTTAATTTTAAAATTTATAATAGAAAAATATACTTTCAAGATAACATGATAATACATAAAAATCAACTTAGTTTCTAAAATATCATATTATTAATATAAATTAGTTTTAATTATATAGTCAATAATAAATAAAATTAGAGAAATTCTGATAAATGATCAAAATTATCTAGGATTATCGAGACAAATCAACAAATTCACTTTTCAAATATTTTTTTTGATGATTTATATTTTACTATTAATAATATTTTCTATATCTTAATTTTAAGTTTTTTTAATACGAAAATATATTTTCAACATAACAACATAATTCATAAGAATTATCTTATTTTAGAAAAATATAAAATTATTAATATAAATTCGTTTTAGTTATATAATGAATATAATAATTTTATATCTTAATTTAAAATTTACTTTTTACATATAAAATATATTTCAAGATAACAACATAATTCACAAGCATTAACTTATTTTCTAAAAATATGATATATTCATATGAATTCGTTTTGTTTATAAATAAATTATATATAAATATTAAAAATATGATAAACAAACAAAATTACATAAACTTATAGAGAACATGACAACTAAGAAAATTTACTTCTTAAATAATTGTATAGATAACAACATAATTCACAAGCATTATCTTATTTTCTAAAATATGATATATTTATATAAATTCGTTTTATTTATAGATAAATTATATATAAATATTAAAAATATGATAAATATATAAAATTACCTAAACTTATGGAGAACATGAAAACTAAGCAAAATTACTTTTAAATAATAGTATAGATTAAAAATATGATTAACAAACAAAATTACATGAACTTATAGAGAACATGACAACTAAGAAAATTTACTTCTTAAATAATTGTATAGATAACAACATAATTCACAAGCATTATCTTATTTTCTAAAATATGATATATTTATATAAATTCGTTTTATTTATATATAAATTATATATAAATATTAAAAATATGATAAATATATAAAATTACCTAAACTTATGGAGAACATGACAACTAAGCAAAATTACTTCTTAAATAATAGTATAAATTAGTCGAATAATTTTTAGTAAATATTTTAGTTATAGTTTTTAGATAGAATTCAAGTTTTTTAATAATTGTGTACAACAAAAACTTCAAAAATTAATATTATTATAAAACGTTGGGAGTAATAAAGTTTTGAAAAGTTAGTTTGATGATGCATAAGAAAAGAAGATGATATCATGATGATGCCTATGTCATCAATGTAGGAGCACTATAAACCACTAGGCAGACAATTTTCAAATATTTGATTGGGGAAAGCTATATAGAAGCTGAGAACTAGCATACAAGATGACACAGGAAATAAAAAAAAAACAAATATAGCATTATACCAACCAAACAAGGGCCAGCTTCAAAGAGAATATGAATATTACACATTTATACATAAAAAGAGACAAGTGAACAAAAAAAAACAAATAGAGACTTGGAGCTTTCAGAAATTTCTACTGTTACACTTCTATCCACATTTTTTTTTTCATGTAATAATAAGATTACATCATACAAATTCTGTCTCAAGTTTAGGCACAATGACCGCTAGTTTTCAATAGCCACATCAGGAATTTTTTCCATGGCAGCATCAGGAAGAGGAGAATCGTGTGCCAGTGACTGCAGAGGAGAGAAACAATATAAATGAGTCTGATTATCTGATTCTGACAATCTGATGATCTAAAGCTTTGTTACCTGCTCCTGTGAGCGGAAATACATGAAGGGTGTGTAGTTGAGGAAGTTGGAGACCCTTGATGTGTATATATCAGCATACCTGAAAACCAATTTTGAGTGAAGGAAGTAAGTGTGAGAGAGAGATACTACAAGTTGCTCAAAAAAATGCAGAGAAGAGAGTATCCTATCCATACTTTTCTATTTGTCTCATCAAGTGGCTTTTGTCCCACAAACCCGCACGTGAAAGGAATCCCCACCTAGTAAAACAACCCAACAATCATGGATCAGATAGAAGAGGTATCATAGATACTTGTGTAGTTAGTCTCTTTTAAAAATAAAAACCTTTTGTTGAAGAGCTCGCCGTCTGATTCAAGCATTAGACCAATCTTGTCATCTAATCTTTGCATTACAATGAGAAGCTTCTGCATGGTCTCCGTCAGTTCTTGATCAGCCAAGTTGGTAGCAGCTAAGGTCTAGAAAGAAATAAATAAAACAAAGAGATAGCTTTATGAGAGTCTCTTATCTGATCAAACTACCAAATTGTATCCAGCACAGGAGATAAACAAAA